GAAAATCCTACACGATGTTTATGAAGGGTAATGGTAATATGGTGGAGCAATGAAATATGGCATGATAGAACACAGAGCATATTCACACTGGGAAATCTGAAGCTACAACGAGGCTCTTTGGAAGAGGATCACAGAAAATCATGCACAGATATTCCTGTCAGCTGGCCCCTGGTATGCAAGATAAGCATAGGTTCTTGACCACCCTAATCTTCAAGTGAATAAATATGGAGTGCCTTAGTTTCTAGAAGTAGTGAGGGATAAGTTATAAGAAAGTATGTGGTGAAGAAGTGCTACAAAGGTAGCTTGAGACAGAATTCTCTTCACCGTCTGACACCACACTGTACACGCATAAACTGCCATACTACACAAACATTTACTTTTCTGTAATATTATCAAGAATTTGTAATATTTCTTTTAAATAAAATGCATTGCATACACACTCTTTTCTCACAGAATTTGCAGTATTAAGTTTCTTGTAACATGGCCACTTAAGCAAGAATAAAATGTATTATTCATAAATTAATGTTATGGGCTAGAAAAAAATGTAGAAGGATGTTGAGAGAAATATGAGTGTGCCTCAGTTGCTGGCTAAAACAATGGAAGCCCTACCATGTACACAGAGAGAACTAAAGCACTAAAAACCTTGTAGCCAATCTGTACTGGAAACAAAGTTTCACATTCATGGCGCAAAGAGTCACAAAAGTAAGTACAGAAAATTTCACGGTAAGTACTATGGCCAAAACCAGTTAAAATGGTTTATATAAACATGGGTCCAGAAGATCTTCAGTATCAAATTAGAGACATCTGAAAGTGTTCCAGTAACAGCAAGATTAAAATGTTGGTTACAAAGAAAATCTGAAGGAAACTGGAGTTTAGAGTGCAACACGTGAAACGTCACTCATCTTTTATCAGCTGCAGTGCAATAAACGTGGCACCTACTCAGAAAGACAAAACTCTTCCTCTTGTCAAAGAGGAAACCGCATTTCCAAACGCATAAACAGTCTTGGAACAAACGTAAACAAGGTCATGGGTCCTAAAACTATGAATGGCTTTGCTCATGTGGTCCAGCAACAATTTAATGGACTGGACTGTCTTTTATCCATATCATCTTTCCCATTCAAAGTCACTGAATGTGTTAAACAACATCTACAGTGACAGTGCGCTGACCGTGTTCAGGAACACGTGACATCGGGCATTCATTTCAAGCGAACTGCATGTACAGTCAAGCACTGTTTTGTCAGTGTTGTAATTGACTTGTAAGTCTGTGTTTACAATAGACAACCATAAAAATGTCAGAATATGCCAATATGGACTTAATTCCATTAATCATCAGATCAGGGAAACTGATAATGTTCACCCTCTTATGGCAGACCGCATAAAATGATGAAGTGCATAAACAGTTGATGTGAAAGAAATTATACTGAGATCTACAAGAAAAACCCCAAAGCAACACTCATCACAAACACGCGGTGAGCACAACAGTGTGGCAGGCTCTCCAATGAAAATTGCTGTACTCATATCATTTGCAACAGGCATAAGCTCTAAGTCTACTTCACGTTCATTCATCCATCTTCAACAGTGTGATGAAGATCCCTTCTACAACAGCCATGTATTTTTCACAGGCAAAGGCTTCACACAGAACGGTACACTAAATTTCCATAACAGACCCATGTGGAGTAACAGAAACCCACACAGTACAGTTCAATCCAACACATCAACAGCAGTTCTCAATTAACATTTGGGTTGGTACTGTGAGCTGTTTTGTAGGCCCAAACATTTTGTCTCCCAGATTCAATGGTGCTCCTTCCTAACATTTTTTGAGCACACTTTGCCAAAGTTACTGGATACTGCCGCTTTGAATATTTGCTTAATTATGTGGTTCATTCATGATGGTGCCCCATCCCATTTCAGTTATGCCACCTGAAACTACTCTGAGATTGCCTACACTGGGTGATGGATATGACGGAAGGGATCAGTAGCCTGGCCAAGTTGTTCACCAGACCTGAATCCCCTTGATCTTTATCCTTTGGGGTCATCAAAAGATAACCATCATATGCTTTGGTGGTAGATACTGTAGATGAATCACTGCAGGGTGTTCAAAATGTCCATACCTTGGCCTGCAACAATCCTGGCATTTTCAGCAAATCCACGCATTGTTTGAAAAAAGCTTGTGTGGCAGTGCAAGGCCAACATTTTGAGCAGCATCCACTGTAACCCTAACAAAAATTATTATTGCTTGAACAGAATTCGTTTGTTATTGATAACACTTGTCTGACAAACGTTTAAACTTGTGGTGTACTGACTTATGATAATAAACCTGCTTTTGCAGCTGAAGTTCTACTATTCTACTGTTGCACCTGCACCATGAAGACTGTGTTTTTTTGCTCTTGAATGGGGAAGGCACGATACATGTAGTCATTCATACGGTCAATTTTAAAATCCGGTTTCTTTCAAAAATGTTCCTAGCATACCTCTGAATGGTTCCAGTTCATTTTCAAAGCATCTCCTGACCTATGTTGATATAGTCTATTTTCACTGTTTTGGGCCATAGTACCCTGCAATTTTCTGTACTCATTTCTGGGATATCCTCTGTACTCAAGACTGCACTGCCACATGGCTCCTTAGCTTCAGTGGGAATGAAGTAAGTCCCATATTGTACCCTTGCATGCAGATGTGATATTTACTTATAAATGACATCATAATTTGAATACCTTATGTATGTTTAGTAAACAATGTTGCCTATTGCTAGGATGCAACGGAATACGGAATAAAATACTCAGGAAAAGGGTGCTATCACTGCTGTAATATAGGTGTATCATATATTAAGAAAATAGATTTTATATTACTATATTAAGAGTCCTGGTGGTCTTTTAATCATGTATGTAATTTTAAATGTTATTTTGATATATAGAATGTATTGTTGTACAGTAGTTTTGTTGTGTTGTATTTCAAATTTTGATGATGATGACTATCTGATTATGCATGTATATTTATGTGTTATACTGCACTGCTGACTTCTTCTATATTTGAAGCAGACCCCTTTGTGGATTTTTTAACTGTAATAAATGAATGAATGAGTAAAATGTATATTTAAATTAACACTGTTGCCTATTGCTAGAATGCAATGGACTGTGGAATGAATACTCAGGAAAAGCGTGCTATTACTGTTGTGATATAGGTGTATCATATATTAAGAAAATAGATTTTATATTACTATATTAAGAGTCCTGGTGGTCTTTTAATCATGTATGTAATTTTAAATGTTATTTTGATATATAGAATGTATTGTTGTACAGTAGTTTTGTTGTGTTGTATTTCAAATTTTGATGATGATGACTATCTGATTATGCATGTATATTTATGTGTTATACTGCACTGCTGACTTCTTCTATATTTGAAGCAGACTCCTTTGTGGATTTTTTAACTGTAATAAATGAATGAATGAGTAAAATGTATATTTAAATTAACACTGTTGCCTATTGCTAGAATGCAATGGACTGTGGAATGAATACTCAGGAAAAGCGTGCTATTACTGTTGTGATACAGGTGTATTATATATTAAGAAAATAGATTTTATATTAGTATATTAAGGATCTTGGTGGTCTTTTGATCATGTATGTAATTTTAAATGTTATTTTGATATATAGAATGTATTGCTGTACAGTAGTTTTGTTGTATTGAGTATTTAAATTTTGACGATGATGACTGATTATGTATGTATATTTATATGTTATATTGTATTATTGACTTGTTCTATATCTGAGGCAGATGCCTCTATGGATTTTTTGGAACTATAAATAAATGAATAGCTCACTGTGTTTTGTAAATTGTTATCTCAGGAAACACTAAGATAGAATGCAACATTTAATTCTGGTATTAATTATCACACTACTTCACAGTATTCTCTTTGCAGTGATATTCCTGATGTGCTTTCCCAGATTACATATGTAAGCAACTAAAAAGTTTAGGAAATAAACTAAACTATTAAACTGAAATGTACACATTCACTACATGCACAGTACTCTTATATAGGACATAAAATAAAATCTTTTAAGCAATTCTCCAATAAACTTCTGACTTTAAGACTATTTATAAACCAGTTTTTGCAGTGCAACATAAATAATAAATACCAGTATGTAAATAATTCTGTATCTTGTGTGTTATCATAGACAAGACTAATTTCTGAAGGCATTTATATGATAAAAAGTGCAGATTTATGTCTAACAGAACCGTTTCATCATATAAGATATAACAGAATTAGAAATGTTTTCCTCAATAATCACAGATGACTACTTTTCATTAGTGACGTAAGATTTTTCAGGGAATTCATAAACTTAGTTTTTCTCCTTACTCACATGCAGACACACTAAAGATGTTGTGGAGACACAATGCATAAAATAATCCTCAGATTTCTAATATTAAATTTCGCTTACATTATACATTAAGGAGAAACCTTCAGGATGATTTTGGCATCCATTTTATGACCACTCAAAGCCTTATTTAGATGATTACTTATTCCTTTTATACTGCATTATACAATCCAGAGAATGTACTGAAAAAAGTATTTGCACTCTTGTTTTGCTTTACTGTTGATTTTTTCAGACTATGAGCAATAACATTATTAATATTTTGGAACTTCCTATGGAACAGAGACTAATACTCATCCTGTGGTCTTGTGGGTTATGGCACTCTGCTGTAGTCTGGAAGGTGGGTACCAACATTTGAGTGGAATATTCTGCCTCAATCTTCAAGGCTGAAGATGGAGTGATTCCAAAGAAGAAGTCATCTCTGAAATTATGGCACCCACCTACCCGCCTACATCACGGAGTCTTTAACACAGAATACCACAGTATGAATCTTTGCGAGTAAGAAAATCTCAAATCTTATAGACTCTAGTCTATTACATTCGAAATGTGTAACAGGATCAAAGAGAGAGTGGCAGAATGGAGTCCATGGAAATGGACAGGTTGTGGGTTGTATCCTACATAATCAGTATTCACCTTGTCTTGTCACAGGACTGGGAGTGGGCATTCGGTGACTAGCAGGGGAATAGGGACCCACAGAACCTAGAAACAAAGTATACAATCAGTGTTTTTTTCATCATCCAAATTGTATATGTGAAAGCAGCCATTAAACAAGGACCTGTACTATGAAGAGAATGAAAACGAAAAAATAAAACATTCATGCAAAGAAGGAAAAGCAGAACAACATGGCAATGGACCCAAGAGAGGCATATCATGAGTCATTGCAAATCTGTTATTAGATTTGATAAGTGGACCCTCAATAATAGTTTTACGCATATCTACTCTATATACAACAATTCTATCCTTATTTGCAATTATATATGAATTTTGATGTGCACATTACATTATACTAACATACATGCAACTGTGTTTCTAAAATCACTTATTCAAAATTTGGATGACCCTAATTGGTCTCCATCTTTTACAGCAAATTTATACAATTTTATATCATTTTCAATTTCATGTCACTTAAAAATTTACATAATATTTCTTTTTTAATTTTATTTACAACTAGCCACTGAATGATAACATAAAAGCAATAACTCTCCTACTTATTTTTAAGGAAAAGTTAAATTTTATGAATTATGTGCATCCAATAAATATGGTAAGAAAGCATGTCAATAACAAAGAGCAAATTAAATTTATAGGTATTAAAAGACTTGTGCTTGCAATGTAATACTTAACCTGATGACTGGTTCCAATAATTATGCAAAAATTCCTTATGTTAACATTTACAAAGTTGACATTCTATACGAAGATCATTATAAGACAAAGTTCCCCATTAAGTATGACTGTAGTTTTCATTAAACAGAGTTAGACCAGTTAGAAAATACAGCATTCCTTGCAAAATCTGAATAACAAACATGCATATACACAAACCACTATGGTTTTTTCCCCTTCACTTGGATACAAAGATGAACTGCCCATTTTACTGGTAACAAACATATAAGAATTGAAAGTTACACTAAAGATATGTATAAAGCTGCAAAATACCAAACATAATATACTCCTTTAGCATCTTATCTTTAAGTTTTCAAAGTGGACCCCCCCCCCCATACTTTACTGCATGCCTCATACTCTTTCCTTCTTTTTTCATGGGGTCAGACTGGGTCCACTCGGTACTGCAGCCACTGGCCTACTGTACCAACCCGAGATGATATATGATTGTTGAGCAATCGGTGGAATGAAAATTGGCAGCAGAAACCAAAATACTCAGAGAAAAAATGCCCCAGTGCCACTTTGTCCACCACAACATACAACAAGCAACAGCAGTAGCTTAACATTGCAAAGACCAAGCAAAAGAGAAGCCAAAGCATATAAATGAGCTCATACTTTGATTCTTCAAGCTTGCATACTTGACTAATAACTCACAGCAACAATGGCAATCATTTAATTTAAATTATATACAGCTCATGTTAGGAGAACAAATAAAGCTTAGGCTTTTGAACATAGCATTTTTAAAATATTATTTGATAGTCATCAAAAGCAGACTTGGTTGAGTTAAACAGAATTGTTTCATGCAGGATACTTTGTGCCTTGGATAAAGGTAAAGTCACAGTCCATGTCCGCTAGAGTGCAGGTGTCCATTCATGGTTCAGCATCCAACTCAGATGGGCTTCGTGAGTCATCTGCCACCAACTGAACATCTGGCTCACCTTGTGGGCTGGGCATGATGGGTGTGCCTGGCCCAGGTGGCCCAGTAGAGCCTGGTGGTCCCTAGAATACATAAAAATTGACATCAATGAACTGCACATCAACATTTAGAGCTGCTTAGATATTTCTCTTTATCAACCCCTTAACCACATGAAGCAATTACTTTATCATGATAGTACAGCTTTTCAACCAATGTCATGATATTTACATTTTAGTAAACCCAACCACCTGTTCANCAGTAAAATAATAATAATAATAATAATAATAATAATAATAATAATAATAATAATAATAATAATAATAATAATAATAATACATAATATAAAAGACCATACTTTCATATCTTGGTAAGGAAACTGATATGAAGAAATTGCAACAGCATGCACAGATATAGTTTCTCTTGTGGATACATCTGGCGAGTATACTGGTGATATGATTCAACATCTGTTCGATATAATATGTTAATCTGCATTAATGGAATTGTTCTGGTAGCTACTGTCTGTCACTACACTGCATATATTAAAGCTTCTGTGCCACTGTTCAATAAAATGAAGCACTTACAGAAATATGAAACTTCTGCAAACTAAACTTCACTGTAGAATAAATTTAAAAATCAGTGCAAAGACATTTTCCATACTTCCTCAAACATGACTAATGGATTACAGCCTTCTACTACTCTGAAATAATATTTAATATCTAGAGAGCAGAATATGACCAATTCTGTTTTACTTGAGGCTATAACTACTATGAAGAGTAACATTTAATCAAGATTGTTCCAGCCATTTAAAAAAATATTTTGTGACAGAGCCCCTGCTGGGGGTCTACTGTTCATCTCCCATTATGTTCAGTAATGTTTCAGCCTATAAAACACTGTAGGATGTAAGCCCCTTGCTATGCAGTGAAGGTGAAATAAGCAACTATACAACAGTTGTTCCTATATAACAGCTCCACAATTAAGCATGTTTCCATGGCAACAAGAGAATAAAGCTGGGACTATATAATGAGCCAAGCTGACTCTTGAACAGCAGACCCCATGTGAAGAAAGGCTGAAATACCTCCGCTGTAGCTCCGCAACTCGTAAGAGGCAATGCAAAACAATGCAGTGCCTGGGGGTATAACTGGGCCAATCTGTTCCTGGGGTATATAAATACGGGGAGTCTCGAGTCTGAGAGACTGAAATATGGTCATGAGTCCCACTGGACTCCGACCCAAAGATGACTACAGTGGCAAGGGCCAGCAGCAATTGTAAACATAAGACATATCCTCTTGCCACAGAGGATGTTACATGAGGACTAAAACACACTACAGTTCAGTTAAAAAAAAATACTGGTCTTGGATCTCAAGGGGCTTGGCGCCAAGATGAAATGACTGGCAGTAAACCAAAATCGTAAAGTGACTCTGACTGACTCAAAGAGCAGTCAGTCATAGTGAGTACGCTGGTTGGTGAGTGACTAATTTAGAGGACTGCTGAAGCTGTTGCTGTTAGAAGCTAGCAGCTGAGGCTGGGGACAGTTTTAGAACCTGGATGAAGTGGAATGTCAGCCATTGGAGGTTGATACCAAGCAATGACTAGTGAAGACTGGAACAGACTGAGGAGACCTGATGTGTACTATAGTGATTTGTGATGTGTGTAAAATAGTGACAGCATAATCCTTACTTGCAGCTGCAAGTTGTAAGAGTTCAATGAATTAAATTACCAATCCAACTCCATCTACAGTCACTGCAATCATGATAATATTATTTGGGTCCACTGCCCCTACAGAATATTTACATTTAATCAAAACTGGTAGAGCTGCTTTTTGAGAAAATTGACATCTCATGTTAAACACACTAGAGGATATACAGTTATTTTCCTGAAGTGCCATGTGTACAGTTTTATTTAGGGAGGAGATCCCCAGAAATTAATTTAATTTAAACGAAGCAGTTTTCAAGAAAAAATGTAATTCTGTGTTTGGAACCTGTATCTTTTTGGAGTCAGAATATTGCTTTTCACCAGGCACCAAGTTACAATGGATAAACTCACTATCATATTATTCAGGTTCTAGCAGGAAATACATGCATGCACAGACACAAGGGCCATCCAGAAAGTAAATTCTGTTTTTAGGCTGCTAACGTAGGAGCAGGGGAGAGCTCACAGATGCAAGGTAGCATCACGTGACTCACTGCCTTATACACCATCATATAGCTGATTACCTAGTGTTTATTCTTGTCTCTACAGCGTGTCTTATGATGTGCCCTGCAACTGATAATTCCATCAGCTGTGAAAATCGCAATGCTATCTACTTGCTTCAGGACAAAAACATCGAGTTCTGTGGAAATTTGTCATGAATTATGCCCCGTTTACAGCCAAAATATAATGAGTGTTGGAACTGTAAGACAATGGGGTAGAATGTTCAAAGACCAGCAAACAAATACTGTTGATAAAAAGCAAAGTGATCAACCTTCTGTAGTGAATAACGATCCAATTTTTAATTTTTATATAATCTGAACGTTTGTATTTTTACATAAGCAATTTTAAAATTGTACCATTAACAGTGTTATATCCATTTTATGGTTGCAGTTAAATGGTAGATTTTTGTTGATGCGTATTTGCCTTATGATGGCCGATAGTGGCCGAAACATGTAGCAAAGCCATAGCTGAACGCTGACGTTGATGTTTTACTATTTGCTGTGTTGTGACGGTTCATTAAAGAGTTGAATAACAATCTTATTTAAGTGTTGACTAAAAAATCTGTGGAAGATGGCCATTCACAACATCAGAACTTTCATGTGAATTTTCACAAATTTCACATACGCTTCTCTATGAGATTATCACTGTTAGGCTAGGCTATCACAAGTTTTGTGAAAAATGGGTTCCAAAAATGCTCAGAGTTGCACACAAAATGCAGTGAATGGCTTCGGCTTTGACTTCTTTTGAGCAATACCACAAAGATGGCGATAAATTTCTGTCACTTCATACTAGTAACAACTAATGAAACCAGGGTTTCATTTGTGAAAGTTAAAACCAAAGAGCACTCAGAGCAGTGGATGCACAGACATTCACAAAACAAGGCGAAAAAGTGTAAATGAAGGTCTGCCAGAAAGCTGATGGCAACTGTTTTCTGAGACAGGAAAGGAGCAGTGATGGTGGAATTTATTGCAACAAGGGACCACAGTAATGTCATAAGCGTACTGCAAAACACTAAAAAAACTGCAGAGGGCTGGTCATTCAGAATGAAAGGTGTTGAATGCTGATATCCAGTGTAGTGCTCCACCATGACAATGCGTGTCCACATGAAGCTGCTCACACCTGAGCACTGCTGCATCATTTCAAATGGGAGTTGTTTGGCCACCATACTTACAGCCCTGATCTCACTTGTCCCACCTGTTTACCTACCTGAAGAACTCACTGAGATCACTGTGCTTAAACAATAATGAGGAATTGCTGGAAGGTGTCAAAACATGGCTGAGTTCACAGGCGGCAGACTTCTCTGACACAGGCATACAAAAACGTATCCCCCGACGTAAGAAGTGCCTCAGTTCCAGCGATGACTCCGTTAAAAAGAAGCTTATGTACGTACTTATTTTTTGTTTGTTTTAATAACAGCCCACCAGAGATTAATTTCTGAATAGCCTTTGAACATAGATTGTAACTGTCCAGTTTATGGGAAGGTCAATTGATGTTTGTGTATGGTTAGGGTTTTGTGAAATTCCTCACTTTCGCCCCACAATTTGAAATTTTCCCCCTGAGACATGCAGCAAGTGGCTTGGGTCAAGCTTGAAGCCAGCTGCCCATCCGTAAATCAGTCAATTTAATGCGTAAAACAAGGCCGAGTTCTTTAGAAATTCTAAACTTGACAGGGGAAGTCATAAATTTAGCAGCGTCGTTTCCTGCAACCCCAAAATCTCAGTTTGACAGCCACGCAGCAGGTGGCAAAGTTCACCCCTAAACTGTACACTAGTGGATATTCGCTTTTCTAATTGGAGGAGAATGATAAGCAACCTCCCAGTCTGCCCGGTCCAGCCAATCATCATCTGAAGTGGGGGGTCCTTTGCCCAAATTTTGGGTAACCAGGGCAAATATTTACCATTCAGAGGGTGCCTGGCAAGGAGGACTCTGAAATTTACCTTCACCAGGGGTACACGTGTTCTGATCCTTGTAAACACGCCCTGTGGTGACTATTAAGTGTGTGTCTCAGAACAGTAAGTAAGCCTACATGCACGAATCTGTGAAGTGTACCATTACGGTGCTGTTTCCGTACAAATAGTGCAGATTTAATAAAGACTCCATACAGTTAATTGGTGTTGAGGTGACTTCCCTACGCCTAAAGCCCCACTAATCACCCAAGTCGTGGCCAGTCAACACGCCCTGACAGGAGTCGAATTGCTCTACCGGGGCTAGCAGAACCGAAGAAAAATGGTTACAACATATACAAATTCCTGTATGGGTGCATGCTTGCGCACGCACGCACGCGCGCACACACACACACACACACACAAAAATCCAAATCCACCTTTTTGCATCTAGGGGTGCTGTAAGCAGATGAATCTATCAAAACCTCAAGAATTTTTTCACAGTCAAAATAGTTCCTCAAACTAAGTATGCGAGAAAGTAAAGAAAGCCCTTCAATGTACAGGAGGATCAAAAATTCATGCACATCAAATTAAGTTGTTATAAATTGTATTGCAGTTAATATATCTCCTACCACTAGATGGTACTGTAGGAGTACTAACAACAAGTAGAAATGCTATCTGTCATGTATTGTTCACACAACTTCTGCAGTATAGCTTTGTTTATTGCGTTCCCAAGAACAACAAGTTTTCACGGAATGGAAGAGTTTGATCAGGTTTTCTTCACTGACGAAGCATGGTTTCACCTTAGTGGCTATGTGAACACTCAAAACAATAGGATTTGGTCATCTGAAAATCCACATGTGTTACATGAAAAGCCCTTGCACTGTCAGAAAATTGGAGTGTGGTGTGCTCTATCAAATCATTGAATAGTGCGCCCAATTTTCTTTGAAACAACAGTGAATAGTGCAGTGTACCAAGTCATCATTACACAGTTTATCGCGCTTCTTGAATTTGATGAACGTGGGCGCTGGTTGCAGCAAGAGAGTGTCACATGTCACACATCTAATGAAACCATGCAGTTCTTGCGCAAGATTTTCGGTGACCGTCTCATTTCAAAAGGATTGTGGCCCCCGCGTTCACCTGATTTGTCACCTGCATATTTTTTCCTTTGGGGGTACCTCAAAGGAATGGTCTATAAAAACAATCCGCATACACAGGAACATTACCATGGCGATTAACGGCATCAGTTTGCAGGTGCTCCACAAAGTGGCCTCAAACATGGTAAAAAGAGCTCACGCATGCATTGCTGAAGAGAGAAGCCATTTTGAGCATATGTTGTAAAGACATGATTTGATTTTGCTCCACAAAGTGGCCTCAAACATGGTAAAAAGAGCTCACGCATGCATTGCTGAACAGAGAAGCCATTTTGAGCATATGTTGTAAACACATGATTTGATTTTGAATTTCTAAGATGTAAGGTTATAAAAATAAATAGAAAGTACTGTATGTCTTGTAGTTTGTGCATTAAACCAGCAAAATATAACTGCTTAGTGGGATGTGCGCAACTTTTCGATCTCCACGTATAAGACTGATACAGAATTAAGGCGCTGCAGTGAGAGCATATATCTGAATTCATCATAGTGATTTCTATAACTGCTCATTCAAGCATTATTAACAACTATGAGAGATGTTACCCCTGTCTAGAAATTATTCAAATTATTTGTAGCAAATTAAGGGACCTATCTGCACAAACGAAATTAATAAAACATTAAAACTCTGAGCAAATGCCAGGCTAGACCTAATTAGAAAACTGCGATATTCTGGTGCTCTTTACATTTGCCTCTGGGTGGTACCTGCGTATCTCTGTGTGCATGTGCATGCACACGTGCATATCCGGGCACACATATATGGCTCTGTAACTATCTGTTCACAGATGTATGAGTAGTACAGCTCCTATACTACAGGGATTATCTGAGTTATATATAGGTAGGCCTTACCAGAAAAGAATATGTTTAAAAAAAATGGCTATGTCTTCTAAATTACAAGGAATGGATTATGTGAAGATGTGTGAACCACTTTTGGAGCCACCCCTACAATCAAGTGCTCAACCAGTGGAGAATGTGCCTAACCCTCATGCTGCCTCACATTGAGTACCAATGTTTTGGAGGAACATACTGCAGCTGTCTTCTGAAGTGAAAGAAGCAGTATGTTCTGTCAAGATGCTGGTATCTGTCAGCAACAAGACAACAGCACAGTGTCACAACACAGAGGATAAAATGTGAACCATCTTCACAGCAAAGACTTCAAATCAAAACCACTTACGCCATAATTGCCTGGTGATGACGAAGAGTAGTTCATGGGCTGAAAAACAGAATTTCAACATTAGATACTCAAAACATAATATAATACAAACTTGCAGCTTAAGTAATCCCAAAATGAAACATCTTCATGTTAGATATTAAGTTGAAAATAAGATGAGGTTATGTCAACCAGGACTATAAGTATCGTGGAGCTTAAAATCTCCATTACTAATACATCACTAAGAGGCTTAGGCAGCCTGTGCATAATTTAGAAGATAACATGAAGTGTCAATTATAGAAGACAATATAGCATGCTCTAAAGTATTTTCACAGCACTTGCCTAAGGGACTGAAGAAAACCATAAAACCACTTGCTCTCATTCAGTACTTCAAAACTTTCATGTCAGAAATTTGTATGTGGACAGTATGATTCAAGTACGATGTATGAGGGGAGTCTAACACATTTCACCAAGAGTTGAATAATATTTTCCATCATCTGACTCCTGTATCTGACAAGTGTACACAATCAGACACATGACTCAGACTTTAGTTCTTGATTTAGCCCAGGCCAGGACCACACAGCTGAACCTTCTGCCACCATCTGGAATTCAATGGAATACCACCTCATAACAGAATGGTGCAGTACACTGTTTAAATGTGGACTGTAACTGTGTTAAATAAAAGTTTGTACATGACTGCTATTCAGACAGGGCTAATGTGGAAGCTTTATATTACTGACAAGCTTGCTGCTCTGAGTGACAAAAAGTGACAACTACAAACTGAACAACATAACTGTCGGAAGTTTCAGTTTACTGCTATTATGTAATTAAATCTAGAAGATCGAGATGAAGTGACCATATCCCATGCATAAAGGAAAGAAAAAAGTATCTAACAAGTAATATCTTGAAATTTCAGAAGTGGGCTCCGTAGGCCCAGTATACATCATATCTGGGCACCAGCTTGTTATAGATGATACTTACTTATAAAACTATTTACACAATTTTGGACATTCTAAGGCCAAACATAATTTAATTACCAACCAAAAACTAATTTGTTTAAGTAATATTTACCACAATATCTCCACACTAGTAGGTTGAGGATAATGTGGCAACTTGAACAAGAATGTTTGTTGCTTCGAACAATCAGACAACTGGACCCAATATTTATTGTTTGAACATGTCGATAATGACGGAATAATCACGGTCTTTGTTTTAATAAAAGTGTCTCAATTACCAACCAGTGTTTATTTCAATTACTATAATTTCAGCGTATAACATAATTAGATCTGAAAAGAATGGTAAATATGGTCAATATGTATATATGGGTATAACTGCTAAAGAAAATCACAAAACCTATTTCAATTCAAGTACAATAAGAGCAGCATTTAATGAACACCAGCTTTCAAAATATTTTTTGCATATAAATCCTCTGTATTCCTTCTTCATGAACATGAATTACAGTTTCTATGCCCTTCATGATTGTGAACCACGATATGCTGTGAAGTCTGATAGATAAGTACCAGGATCATATTCAGATGAAGGCAGAGGCAGCATGAGTCTCCATAATGTTGGTATCTGTCCACTACCTACATGATGTCACATCCTGAAGACCATAGTCTTAATATTCACTGCAGTGAGAACTTCAAAACTTTATGCCCTTTCTCTGTAAGGATAACTTCTTTTTACCATGATTCAATCCTTTGTTACACCATTTAATGATAAGCTGTAAAATATTTCACGCCCTACAGAAACTGAATTGATAGCTGTATTCTCCTTGGGTGTGTGTAATAGTGTCATTGCACTTAAACAGAACTCAATGCTTCAGCATTATGAGACCTACAGCTAGTACCCCATTTAATAGGTCTTCTGGAACATGAAAGTCATTAGGTTACAAGCTGTTGAAGACAGATGTAAGATTAAGTGCAACTACTTAGCATTAACATGATATGTCATAAAAACCCTCAATTCTTGGTCTGTAAATTGAATATGTCTAGTACTGATGTATCAGAATAAACAAGTTTGAAGCGTACAAGCCTCCTCAGTTGTAGTCATGTAGTTCAGAGACAGCCTAATGTTTCAGAGGAATATATCTGGCTCTCCCTGAACATGGCACTACACACCAGAAGACCATACTCTTCATGGTCATTGTAGTGAAAACTTCAAATCCATACATAAATTTATTTAGAGTGGTAACACATAGGGAACACATGTAGTGTCATGTAATGGCATGGAAATACTTTTCTAAATACATTTCAAATGGACTTAGTAACAGATAATATATTTGGTTTATGCATCCCATATGCTTCCACAATTTCTCAAAAGCATAATGCAAAATTTGATGTCTAACATTCATCCAAATAATATATAAATATTCAGTTCTTACCACATAAAAACAAACTGGAATCAATCCCTATTCATTTTCAAAATCACACAAAACCCATCAATGCACTCTGTAGGGAAAAAATGCAAAGTTCTCTAATGTTAAATCAGGTGGTTCATACACTAGCCACTGTGCTTTAATGAGTTAATGACACTTTCGGTTCAGGACAAAATGTGACTAACAAAAATATTTCCCTGTACCAAATACAGAACACCGAACCAAGTACACTTCAGTTTATATGAATAATACATACGGTAGAGGTGTTTGGTTGCCACTGCGGTCTGCCTCCTGGCCCAGTCATTGACATGGGTGGCATTCCTGGTCCACCAGGCCCACCTGGTCCACCAGGGCCTGGGCCTCCAGGTCCCAGGGTGCTATTAGGTGGTGGTCCCCGCATTCCTGGTCCATAAGAGCCTGGACCCATTGGGCCCATGGCAGGCCCTCTTGGTGGGTTCATACGAGGATTCATTGGACTCATCCCTGGCGGTCCTGAAACAAATTATAAAATCCTTAACAAACAGAATGACTGTTTCACCAAGACACTTCAGAAGATCTTCTGACACTACTTTTGCAATATGACTCGCTCATGTTATGGTTACTGTTTGCTGGAATATGTTTGTATATTACTTCATATATTTAGAAAGAAAAACATTTATGGGAAAACATCAACAGAATACGTAATTTATGGATCCACTCTTTCTTAATGAAAAGCTGAAAGCTGCCTGAAGAAAAGACTGAATGAAGTGTCATAAATTGTATACTTCACAGTGACAAATAAATGTATTGCTGAAAAGCTGAATATAATGGGAGCTGAGATTCCCATGGCCATAAAGATTCATATTATGGACTCCTGGATTTTGACTGGCAGGTGAACAATAACATTTAAAGTGAACACATTACCTCTATCTATAATATGGACCTACCACCTACCAGACTACACAAGCCAGAAGACCACAATATGAAGTGAATACTGCTTTAATGTGTAGCAACTGACTGCCAATTTGAAATTTATAAGGATTAGTTACAATGAATATCTGTTATCACAAATATGAGAAATGATTGGACATTAAGTGCTACTGAAATTAACATATTTGTAAAGAATGTGGAACAGGTGATCAGTCCATTAGTATTAGAAGGATGTCTCAGGCAGGGCCAGCATGACATCACAGGCAAATCAAATGGCTGCCTACAACAACATGACTTTATGGGCGATACATTTTACAAACCATATTCTTTTATGTAAGATTTGAGGTTTTCATGGCGGTGACTATGAAGAAAGCAGTCTTCTGGGATGCAGCACTGTGTATGTGTGCTGTTAACCGACATTTCGGAGGACTGCTTTCTTCATATTCTTTTAGATTTTCTCCTACAAATATGAATTTCTGTTGCTCTTTTCTTTTTTTGTTTTTTGACCATTAAATTAGCTGTAATCTAACATTTTATAAAACAATGTAAGTAAAACTGTTTTAAGAATTATGGTACCAATGATGGCTTTCATCACAGTGTCTGGAAATTCCATAATATTAATTGTGACAGTTTCAAGAATGTTGATTTGAAGTGGAAGACCTCGTTGTCAACTAGAGCAGCATCTAGGAATGTGCTGGCTCTAGTTTCAGGCACTTTATATGCACAGAGGGATATCAAAACATACAATATGCATGTCGATCTGTGAACCTGTGAGAGCTCACTCACAGATGCAGAATTCTGCTCCCAGAGTCACACACATCTCAGTCTGCTAAGCTGTACAAGTTCTGTTGTCTCATGCCAGTGTTAACTGATTCACTCTGCAGTGACCCACTGCTGCAAAAACACTTGCTGCTAACATTAGACAGTGTTTCAGATTCACTCTTCCATTAGTCTTGCTTAATTCTGAATAATAATCTAGAAAGTATATGCAGACAAGACATAAGTACCTGCCTTCTGCATCCAACAAATGCTTAATGGAACTTCAACAATACTGGTAATAAAAATGGTTAGTGAGAATTCAATGATATTGGCACAAAATATGTCCAAAATTTCATAACCTGCAACAGCAGTCACAGATTCAAGAAAGGTATCATGGAATCAGTTGCTTAAAACTCAAGATATGAAGACGTTTGCGCACAGCTCATACACAATACATGAAGAAAAGATGTAAGAACTTGTTATGTGACAGGCAAAATAATACGAGGGTCGTACTGAAAGTCATGAGCAACAATTTTTTGTAAAGTAACATGCCTCATTATTGACAAACCAAATACATCACCTCAATCTACAGACCTTTCTTTATTTTTCCACATAATCGCCACTTCTTTGTACACATTTATCCCAGCATTCTGGAAGTTTGAAAATTCCCCTTCTGTAAAATTCCATCCAGCCATTCGAAGACACTGACGCACTGCTCTCTGGATTGCCTCCCTTATCTCAACATGTTGTCCACACAGCTGATCCTTCACAAATCCAAAAAGATGGTAGTCGAAGGGTGCCAGATCAGGGCTATACGAGGGGTGTGGAAGAACTTCCCACCCCATCTTTGCAATTGCTTCCAATGTGACCTTTGTGGTCTTCGGTCAATAACCGCGGGACCCAACGAGCACAAACTTTCCTATAGCCCAAGCTTTCAATCATCTCCTGTACTGCACTGTGCCCTATTCCAAGTTTTCGGGCTATTGTGTCCACAGTCACACGCCTGTCATCTTGAATGATCTCATCCACTCCTTCCTTGTCACGTTCAGCTGAGGCTGTTCGAGGACAACCGCTCCAAGGCTCACCTTCAATGGTGGTGTTCCCATCTTTTAAAATGTTTCGCCCATCTTCGAACACTGCTCGCGCCCATGCACACACTTCCATAAGCACGCTGAATTCAGAAAGCAGTGCGTCAGTGTCTTCGGGTGGCTGGAACAGAATTTTACAGAAGGGGAATTTTCAAACTCCCAGAACGCTGGGAGAAATGTGTACAAAGAAGTGGCGATTATGTGGCGAAATAAAGAAAGGTCTGTAGATTGAGGTGGTATATTTGGATTGTCAATAATGAGGCATGTTACTTTACAAAAAACTGTTGCTCATGACTTTCAGTACAACCTACATACATAAAGAAAGCAGTCTTCTGGGATGTGACGCTGTGTTGAAGTTGTGTTAACCAGTGTCTCAGAGGAACATGTAGCTTCCATCTTCAGGGTAGAATACAAGAAGAAATCCATGAGCGAACCAGCATGAGCAGGTGCAACAGATGCTGGTTTGCTCATGATTTCTTCTTGTATTCTACCCTGAAGATGGAGGCGATACGTTCCTCCGAAACGTCGGTTAACACAACTTCTACAAGGTGCCACATCCCAGAAGACTGATTTCTTCATAGTCACCACCGTGAAAACCTCAAATCTTACAATATAATACTTGATTAACTTTTCTTTCTGTATCAAAAAATTTCTATGTGACTTCTGTTCTGTTTCTGTGTATTCATAGATATGCTGCTACTACATCACTGGTAAAATTATATGTACATCAGTGTTTGATATATTTTCAGGTTTCTTTGGGTCTGATAATTTGCTTAATGGTTTAGCACCTGATTTCAATTTGGAAGGCACCCAGTTCAAATTCAAGCCAAATACTAATCTGTCCTCTCCGCCTTCTTAATGCTTCTTCACAGTCCTTCCAGGCGAGTTCTGGCAGAGGACTTTAAAAGTAGGTTACAACCACTTTCTTCCAACAAACTCCTAACTCTCCATTCACAGCAATCTCAAAAAGTAATTTAACATTACATAACCTTCAAAAATTGATATCACATCATAAATTAATTAACCTTTAAACGCCGGACTTCGAAATAGTGGTAAGCTTGAGCTGGCCGGAGTTTATTTAAATGTCCGCTGCTGGTGCGCGTTTAAATGCCCGTTGCTACGCTGCGTTTAAATGTCCGTTCCTGTTAGGCGCTTAATCAATTTTAAGCGTTGTGTTTAAAAATGCTCTATCTAGCTCAATTTTTATGATAAATGGATGGAAATAACTTTGTTTATTTCAGAAAAGAACATAGTGTCGCATATTATAAAGGAAGATTTGAAATTTTTAATACAAAGTGTTGTACTCTATTTTCAATTTTTTGTGTTTTAATTTTGATGCGTACTGCAAAAATGGTTTCCCAGTTCTTCACAGAGTTGTTCTGCATTATAACTTCATTTCTGTTTGTAACACTTGACAAATTTTAGCAGTCTCTGGTGTCATAAAACAGATGGAAGCAATAAAATCATTTGGTCTTCTGCTAGCGCTGCTTACACCCTTCGGATTTTCGAATACTTGACTGAAGGTCAGAAGAATGAAAGAATGGCTATTCAAGAGAAAGCTATAGGGGTCCCCTCTTCAGTGCTAAGATGTTCCGTTAGGGCTGCAAAAGCTTATTGCCCCTTCTATTTGAATGAACAGACAGCTGCATCGTGGCTGAGATACAGAGCGTGATCTCTTTTGTGTGCGTTCGTAGTGAAATCGAATACTGTAGTTTCATTTGAACCTATATATACATCAAGAAGGTAACAACAAAAAAGGTATGTACATCGAATTTTACACTATATTTTTAACATACCTATCTGCAGAATCTGCAACAAAATTACTGGATTGTGGATAAGTTTTGGCATAACTCATACGTATATTTTTATTTGCTGTTGTTCAGTAAGGTATTATTTTAATTCCTCTATTAGGGTTTTACTTAAGTCGGTCTGGTAATTACTACATTTAAAAATAAATATTCAGGACTGTGCATGCGCTTCTACTAGCGGCGTGTGCGCGCGCTTCCACTAGCGGAGTTTAAATGCCTGACTGGCCACAACTGGGTACTTTGGCCACGACGACCTTACTCATGACTGGCACAAACTGGGCACTTCGGCACTTAAAGGTTAATATGGGGAACGGAACTAATTAACAGTTCACTGGCATATCAAGTCACAATTTAACACCTAAGACTTCTCCCAATCACAGCTCCTCCCTCTCATAATGATGGTAGCTACGACCACTTCTACATGGTAATGCTTGTGTTTATGGCATAAGAGCAATCCATCTCGTTCACATTGACGTGTCTGCATACGATGGAACATCAAGTTTTGAAATTGGGTAAGATTGTTTCTCAACTGCAGTAAGAGAAAACTGATTAGATGAAAGTAAGAGCCATCTACCTCATAATATAGTTTCATATATTGTGGTGACTGATTTGTCAACTGTTACATGAAGAAAGTAACAATAAAATCTTGCAAAATTTATGTCCCCATAGCATACAACTACCTTACATAGCCCTTATACAGTCAGCCCTCCAACCTTTGGACTGTACCATATATACCTCCAAAACAATTTCAGATAATTTTTTCATAATCCTAAGAAAAATCTATTTAATAATTTAAACAAATAACCTAATATACAGCAAGCATTCAACAATTAATAATACGCAAAAAATAAAGGCATACAAAGGTTACAGGTTGGATCAAAGTGAGTCCTCCTAAGTCTACTTCATCTGCCACTGGAAATGGTTGCTG